CCTCTTGGTCCAAGTATAGGTTTCGCATTAGCACCATCAAGTGTTCTGGGATTCCCATTCTTCTGAGAGTCAGCCACAGTTTGTCAACTACAGATCTACACAGTCAAATGCCTTTGCATAATCAATAAAACACAGATAGACATTCCTCTGATATTCCCTGCTTTCAGCTAAGATCCATCTAACATTAGCTTTAATATCCCTAGTACCATCACCCCTTCTAAATCCAGTCTGGACTTCTGGCAGTTCTCTGCTGATGCACTGTTCTAGTAGTTTTTGGATAATCTTCAGGAGCTGAAGAACAAATTCAAACCTCAAGCTGATATAATCAAGGATGCTTTAGGCATAATATTAAATGATCCCGGAAGTATTCCGAGAAGATGGAAAGAATATACTGAGTCACTGTATCAAAAGGAATTGGCAGACACAGAAGAATTTCATCAAGTAACATATGAGCAAGTTTCGTGAAGTAACATATGAGCAAGAGCCTATGGTGATGAAGAAGTTCAAGCTCCTTTGAAGGAAAGAGCAAAAAATAAGGCCCCAGGAATAGATGGTATACCAGTTGACGTATTTCAACTAACAGATGCTGCCCTGGATGTGCTCACCAAGTTGTGCCAAGAAATCTGGCGGACAACCACTTGGCCAACTGACTAGAAGAGATCTTCTAATTATCATAAGATTTAGGAAGAGACAGTTCAAAGAAAACTTTTGCAAGATCATCAATTGTTATATCAACCGGAAGGGAATGAGAAAATGGATTGTAGGTTTTATTTTTATGTCAGTTTTAAAAAGAGAGAGATGATGGTGATGATGTTTGAACATATGCCAGGGGAAAATGAGTTTTCCCCAGGTCAAGGAATCAGCCTCTCAAAAATGGAGAACTACCTCTCTGGTCATTTGTCAGCCACTTCACAGATGCTTGCTCTTGGTCTGTGGGTACTAGATGAGAATGTATTTTAATCTCTCTTATAGGAAATGGTCGTAGGTGTTTCCCATAGGTGAGTGAGTGGTGATACTCTTTCCACATTTGAAAGACAGCTTCATTGTTTTCCATCACCATTATTATTTTACTACTTTTACGTTCAGATTACAGAAGGTAGTATAACTCTTTGTCTTGGGAATTAGTGGTTGATGCATAAATTTGAAGAATAATCTTATTAATGGTTCTTTCTTATCAGCATAAGGGTGTGTATTTATCACTGACAGTACAATACTTCAGGATACTTCTGGAAATGCTCTTCTTTTATATTGTTTATTGCCTTGGAGTCAAGCACGACTCATAGCGACCCTATGAATAAAAGGCCTGAAGTCTTTCTATAACTATCAACATTTATCCAAGTTGACAGTTTCTGGAGGCATGTTGTTTAGGAAGTGGATGCCACTCCTGCTTCCAGACGTCTTTTATATATAATTTTTTAACTATTGAACATTGTCTTCCACTTCCTCTTCTCCTCCCCTAACGCACCCCCAAATGCACCCTTTTTCCAGATTGTTGTCATACGTATAATTCCTAATCATATATTCCTTTGGACAGTTCTTTTCCTCATCTGTTCTAATGCAGTGTTCTTTAGCGTCTCTTTTCCTATTCTCTCTCCAGAAATGTTCTTTTTGCTATTAAATGCAATGTTCTTTCTCTTCAATTTGCCAGTCCCAGAGTAGTAAATATTATGATTGTCTGATTTAAAATGGTCAGTACTGGTCTAGGTCTATTTTGGCTCACTGATGTCTGGGATATTAACCTTTAAAGAGTTCCATTTAATTTTAAATTTAGATTTTCATATGCTCCAGGTTTTTACTTAATATATCCAATATTCTAATTACTAGTGGGCTATTTGTAGCTATTTTTTTCTCATTGTGAGTCATTTGTGCCATGAGATTGATGATGTCATCAATTCAATTTTACTTGGTTCCACAGTTAGCACCGATGGGAGGAGCAGTTGAGGAATCAAAAGATAGGTTGTATTAGAGAAATATGCTGTCACAGCTCTTCAGAGTGCTAACAGGTATCAGTTTAAAGTAAACCTGATCCAAGCTATGATATCTTCATTTGCTTTGAATGAACCTGAAAGTTGGACAGTGAATAAGGATGAGAGAAGAATTGATGCCTTTAAATTGTGATGTTGGTGAAGAGTATCGAGTATTCCATAGAATTCCAAAAGAACAAACAAATATGTCTTGGAGGAAATACAACTAGAGGTGCTGCTTAAATTGAAATTTCTTCTCAATTACTTTGAGCATATTTTCAGAGGAATCAGTCCTTGGAGAGAGAAATCATCTTGGGAGAGGTAGAGGCTCATCAAATGAGAGGAAGACCTTCCATAGGATGAATTCACACAGTACTACCACAGTGGGCTTGCTCATGACAGAGGTCATGAAGATGGCACAGGATAGGACAAGGTTTAGATCTGTTGTTTACAGAACTCTATGAGTCATGGTCAACTTAACGGTACCTAACAACAGTGACTAAATGCCACATCAGCAAATGAAAGTTCTGAAAACTTTACTCAATCTTTGTCAGTAAGACCAACTCTACTTAAAGGAGCTCTTCCCTAGCTCATTTCAAGTACAGTATGAAATTGGCAAAACATGCACTCAAAATGCGTTGTTGATTACTGTTCATTGGAATATGAAAGCTCAAAACAAGAAAGAAGGACTGGTAATCAGAATACATGACCTTGATGATATAAACCAGGCTGGAAATGGCATGTTACAATAGCAAGACTTAACAGTTTATTCATTTAAAGTGTCTTTTTTCAACAATGTAAATGATGCCTGCATATTTGGACTCATCCAAATTAGATCAACTGCAGCTGAGTTTGGTTTGATTTATACAAGGGGACCTCACCAGATGAATACATAGTGAAATCTGTGGAAAGAGACAATGGAGAAACTCAACATAATCAATCAGAAAGAGACCAGGAGTCAGTCGTGGAACAGACCATTTGCTAGGACTATGAAGACCAATTAATAGGCTCATTATTAAAATTTATGTATCAACTACTAATTGCTAAAATAAAAAACCTGAAGATTTGTGCTAGTTTTTTTAGTCTGAAAGTCAGCTATAACAGTAACACTCTGCAGGCAGATCCGTATGAATGTTTAAGCTGACACTGAAGAAAAGGAAAACGAGTCTGTGAGAGGCAAAGTACAATGTTGAGTATGTGCAATCTGAATTTGGAGACTATCATTAAGAATAGAGTTGATGCCCTGAACACTAATGGCCAAAGTCTAGAAGAGTGGTAGGATGACACCAAGGACTCTTTTCTTGTCTTGTACGTGGGGTTTTTATGAGTCAGAACTGACTGCTGACTTTGAAGCAAGCAAGTTGCTTTCCATTTATCTTGAGACCATTGGACTTCACTTGTTTGTTCTATCTGGAAAATGCAATTCTAACTTAAGCCTAAATTTTCTCTCAGACCACATGCTTGTGGCTGAAGATGAGAGAACTGTTGGCATGTTATGTTGTCACATAGTACTCCAAAGGGGGTAATTTTCAAAGAACCTTAAAACCTCTAAGGAAAATGATAAAGAACAATTTTGCTTGAAAAAAAGCAAAACAAGAAGAATTCACTGAAGGAACACTGGAGATTTTTAATAGTTGTGAAGTACTTACAAAGCTGTGATCAAGGCAGCCAAGGGCCCAGGCCCAGTAGACCCTGTAAGAAACTCTTCCTTATAGGAGATGAGTAGGGAAGGCAGGTTTTTGACATCATGTCACTCTTTTCTTGAAAGAACATTATATTTTCTTATCTTTTAAACCATAGCACAAATTATTTTATGAAATATATCCTATGTTATAGGCTACCTGCATTTATTGTATCATTTAACATCACCGCAATCCTCCATATCATACTTAACTAGATACATAGGCTATTGTGGAAACAGAAGTGTAACTCGTACCTGTTTATTTCATGCCCCATCTCCTTCCTCTAAAAGTTGAATGATGTGGTTTGAACCTAAGATGTGCACAAATGGAAAGAGACTAAAATTCTAAATCAGAAACTGAGAAGAAGAGTTCAGAAGGTATAAATCTGAGCTAGTGACATCTGAGAGTTTTCTTAGAGGAGCAGGGAGTTTATTCAACAAAGGCTGGTAAGGTCAGGTAAAGGAAAGGCTGGTAAGGTCGAATAAAGGAAGGGCTGGTAAGGTCAGGTAAAGGATGGGCAGAGGCAGAACGGAAGAAAAGAAAACCAAGTCAAGAGTGATTGACTTCTTCAGGTTCAAGAGCTGAAACTTAAGGAACTGATATGGATCCATAGTTAAGAAAAGACTCTTGCCCCTAGTAACTGTTCCTAGGAATTTTCCAGCCCACTGCATAAGGTACACCTGGATACAGCTTACCATAGTAACTGCTACTTTGTAGTATGTATAGAGACTAAAAGGTTTAAAGCCGAACATGAAGTTGCCAAGAAGACATTCACTGTAAAGGAATGCCATTTGTGAGGAGTGGGGATGTTTCTTTCCGGTGAGGAAGCGGGTGGGGATGAGGATTAAGGGCATATGAGGAGGAGTGGGAACAGAGCTGGAAGAAGACTCGGATAATGTTGAGGGTGTAGCATAGCTGAAATACAGATTAATCAGGGGGAATAGAGGAAAGCACTCCAGAGAAATAGCCCTGAGAGAGTTGCTGTGCTTCTCTGTGGTGGAAGGTCAGCTGTGAGTCGGAATCAACTGGACATCAATGAGTTTTGTTTGTCTGTTTTTAATGAATTTGTATGGACAAGATTGGAAAGGGAACCGAAACCAGAGGCGAGCCATCCCCAACACCTGATTGATCCTGGGATGGATTTTTCCTCATCCGGGAATCTTGGTGACTCAGAATTCTCATAAGAAGGTTGGACAGCCAGGGATGCTCAGTGCTCTTGGGCTCAATTCCCAGTATTTGGCTGAACTTGTTTAAAGAGGTCAGGGGTGGAGCTTCTCTACTGAGAGGCAGGAGGTTGTGAAATCACACTCTTCTCTCTAATTAGGACAGTGGTGTCTTAGGGGCTGCACACTACACTGAGTAACACTGTCAGAGAGGATGACACCAAAAGAAAATGTTTTGTCATACTTCAGCAGAAGTTTATTATCTTTTAGCAAAAATAGCCCAGTAGTTCTTTTTAACAAGAGAAACTTCCTTTGTAAGCTTTAAGCCTAGCTGACCTGCTTAAGATGATGCTCACTACCATTCTGAGCCTTCTAAGGCACTCGAGTCAGAGCTGACATCATTACACAGCAACAGTGATGCTCGGAATCTCTTGGTCTCATCGCACGTGTTACAATACATTGTTTTCATTGCTGCCAGTGATTTTATAGCTGCTGGCTTTGTCACATTTTCTTATGTTGACCTATACTCTTGTGATCATTATGTGATTAAATTTTTAAAGTAATTAAAGGAAAGGAGAAAATGTTCAAAAGACCTCTTCAGTTAGCAAAAATATGTAGCTAGTATTGTTGTAATTCAGATGTAGAAAGGTGTTATAAAAACAGTTTTGTTGAGCTCTGGTGGCCTAGTGGCAAGAAGCTACACTACAATCCCAGCGATGCGGTTCAAATCCACCAGATGCTCTGCTGGAGGAGGAGGAACAATCTCCTCTAGTGCCAGTCAGATCCAATTTGATGGTACACACACACACACACACACAGACACACACACACACAAAAAATAATAAAATAAAAACCAAACATTTTTGTTGAGAATATTCATATAAACTATGTCGTAGTAAAACAATTTAAAATCTAGTAACACAAGAAACAAATTGATTGCCAGTGTCAATTCCAAGTCACAGCAACTTTCCATAGGCTTCCACGACTGTGAATCTCTATAGGAGGAGACTGCCCACCTTTCTCCCATTGAGTGGATTCTAACCACAAACCTTCCATTTAGCAGTTCGGCAGGAAATGCACTGCGCTACTGGGCCCCCATTATATTTATCACATATTTGTCATTCACATTCATTTATTGCCTTAGATTTGGAACTGACTCCTCAAAGACCCTCCAGCAAGTTTTCAGAGGCTGTAAATCCCAGGAGAGGAGATTCCTCACCTTTCTCCCTTGGAATCACTGGTGGATTTGAACTGTCAGAGAGGCTCTGTCTTTGGGTTAGCACTGCACATCCCTATAGACTATATCACCCTAGCTCCCATTTGTCACGTCTTACTCTGTGCTTAAAGCTGATTATGCTAGTGGTGGTGGTTACCATCAAATTGGAACTGACCCATTGCTGGAGCTCCAGTAAGACTTACAGAGGCAGTAGATCCCAGAGGAGGAGATTGCCCATCTTTTTCCTTCAGAGCAACTGGTAGACTTGAACCATGTACCTTTGTGTTGGCAGCACAGTTCCTTACCACTGAGCCACCAGAGTTCCCTAAAAACTACTAAAGATTGGTCCAGCATAGAAGAAGGTCCATGAGGGGTGTGACACCAACTTTTGTGGATTAAGGGCCAACAAAGTATACATGATTTAGCACTTGATTTAATAGGAGTGCTTCTCAATCACGGAATTGTTTATCCGTGAGTCAGAAATGAGTGATAGCAAACACTTATTTCCAAAATGCATCTAGTCTATCTCAGAATTATGCATCAACCTGCCCAAGAGTTAAGATTTATTATTTTATTGATTGCTATTTTCTAGTTTTGTTTTGTCTTGGGTGCTTTTTGGTGGTTTGTTTTTTGGGTTTTTTTGGTTTGTTTTTTAGCATTCCTTTTCTGTTAGGCATTAGGTCAAACCCTTTATACGGATGATCATCTGGTTTATTTAGTATTTTCATAAATCTTTTGAGGTTGTCAGATTACTGGTCCCGTTTCACAGTGAAGGAAACACGCCTCTTCCTGCCTTTAAGGACAGAGATAGATTTGACTCTAATGTCTAACTCTTACCAAGAGCTGTTGATTTCTCACTTGGAGGTAGGGGACTGTCCTTGTTGGCTTATCCCTCTGTTCTATGATCATTGTCCCTGACATATGCATCAAACCCCTCAACCCAGTTGCTGTTGAGTCAGTTCTAATTAATGGCAATTCCCTGTATATAGAACAATGTCCATTGGATTTTGAGTGATTGATATTTCAGAAGTTCTCTCTGGGTGTACTCAGACCACTAACCCTTTAACACATGTGTTGTTTGCACTGCCCAGGGACGCCTGGTTTTCTGCACAGGTGAGTGTGGTTCTCTTAGCTCATATTGCTACAGCCTTGACCCTCTGACGAACATTGGCTCGGTACCTTAGGAATCGCTGGGCTCTGTCAATCTGAATAAGAGAGATCGTCCTTCTCTAATGAGATCCCCTTTTCATGTATCATTGTCAAATAGAATATGTGTCTTTCTCAAGGTGAAAAACCATACCAGTGTGACTTCAAGGACTGTGAACGAAGGTTTTCTCGTTCAGACCAGCTCAAAAGACACCAAAGAAGACACACAGGTTTGTAGGTCCACATCTCATTGCTGGAAGCTGTCTTCCTTTGGATAAGGTTAGACCAGACTATTCTGTTGTTGTTGTTGAATATGGACTAAGAGTCAGCCATTTAGTTCATTTCCCCATTATATAGTTTTTAATTGATAGAGAATTTTCATCTTTTAAACAAAAAAGAAGTAAGAAGAAAAAAATATCTCACATTTCTCCCAAAACCACAGAACAGTGAATTTCCACTAGCAATTTGCTGGAAGATACAGTGGGCTTTGGTAAAGGACCAGGGTAGTGCAGAGAAGAGGCCAAGCTGTAGAATGATTCACTTTTTCTGTCTCTGTAATAGCTGAGACTTCCCAGCTGGTGATAAGCTGGACATTTGTGGTTAAGGAATGGTAGTTCCCATGATCCAAGTCAGTCCCCAAGGATTATTACAGAATCAGGTGGTTCCTGCTGGAATGAGGGCATTGGGGTAGTTTAAGGGAAAGACAGATATTGCAAACGTGGTCAGAAATTCTGGGTTCCTGGAGCCCCACTTTGCTAGGGCCGTGGCTAGACCTTCTCTGTCCGTTTAGGTGTGAAACCATTCCAGTGTAAAACTTGTCAGCGAAAGTTCTCCCGCTCCGACCACCTGAAGACCCACACCAGGACTCATACAGGTAAAACAAGTGCGTAAACTTTTCTTCACATTTATTTTTCATTATTTTCTTTTAAGTGAATGTTGAATGAAGTTGCTTGTGAGAGATTGGAAAAGTTCTAGGTGAGTTTAGACTCAGTTGAGAGGAAAAAGTAGGATAGCATGCTATTTTTAAATGATAATGGCATCTGTAAAGAAGAGGAAGGAGGGGATACAGAACAGACTGTTGTTGTTGTTGTTGTTATGTGCCATCGAGTCGTTTGTGACTCATAGCGACCCTATCTATGTACAACAGCCCTAAACCCTGCTCTATCCTGTGCCAATCTCATTGCCTCTGACACACCCATCCCAATTACCCCAGTCACTGAATCAATCAGAACAGACTAGAGAATGAATAAAAGTCTCTTTTTTGAGTGTCTAAATGGAAGAGATAGAAGCTAGGTTATCTTCAGCTTCAGTTAGTTGAATTACATTTTTATCATTCAGTTTGACATGGTGATCGGGCTTTAACAATATTAAAAATTCTAGCAAATAAAACATTTCTTCTTCTGACAGCTTACATTTCATGCCCCTATTTTCAGAGAGCTGAATTCTTACACCATTGAAAGTGGATGTGCCTGTGTAGCTGACCCTGCAGAGGGTGTTCAGAGGCAGTTAATTTCATGGAAGGAGATTGCCCATCTTTCTCCTGCGGAGCAGCTGGTGGACTTGAACAGCATACCTTTCCATTGGCAGTGCAGTTCCTTACAGCTAAGCCCCCAGAGCTCCCTGAATAGCCCATAGTTCCTACTAAACTATAATCAGCATGTGGATATTCTTTCCTATATTCTAGAATAGAGAAGAATGAGAACACTTGTTTACTGGCTGAATGTTTTAGAATCTCTACGAAGCTGGTGTGCCTAATGAAAGTTACACCACCTTTATTGCATACTTTGTGGCCTTTAAAAAAGGGTCAGTGTTACCTCATTTTATCTTCACAGTATACTTGTAAGTAAGCACAGTCAGGTACAGATGTAATATCTGTTTAACAAATGAGGAGACTGAGGCACACAGTGATTAGATGACTTTACTACAAAGTCACCAAGCTAGTGTTTACATCCAGCCCACAATCTCCCACTGCCTTCCATGCTGGAGAAAGAACCTGGATCACCCAGAAACTCAGGGAAGTAAAGGACCCAAGAAGCAGGTCAAAAATCATTGAGAGACTGAGAAGGATGAAGACCAGTAAATACAAAAGGGTTAGGATTTTGCTCATTAAATTCTAGAAAGGTTTTATCAGCACAGATGGAGGTTGGGTGGAGTAGAGGAGCCATCGGAGGAAGTGTGAGTGGCACACGTAGACAAACAGAATGTCATTAAGTCTTTGTGCCTCTAAATTCAAGTCCCTCAGTCCTCAGAGGCTGTAGACAAAGCAAGGCAAGACATCAACACAGAGTTGGTGCCTACTCAGTTGTCTTTATGTAACACTTGTTTGTTTTAGTTCTGAGCTTCCAAGTGCCTAAGGAAGGATTGTCATCCTTGTACCCCTGTGTGTACCTGCATAGGTGAGGAGTAACTTAATGCCAGCAAATGACTATTTGACACTCAAGTTAGCTGGCTCCCAAGTCTGATCCTGGAACATTCCTCAGTGTTTGTCCCGTTGAGGAGTCCTCAGAGAAGCCTGGGACAGCACTACCCTGACAAGATCCTCTAGGTCCTGCGGGGTTTTGCCCCTGTGGCATCCTCATGAAGGATGAAGCCACAGCTGTATTTCCATTTTGGCTAAGCCTGTGAATCATGGTACAATGGGAAGAGTGCAGGATTGGAATTAGAAAGACCTATATTGGGCGAGCTCTGGTGGCCTAGTGGCAAGAAGCTGCACTGCAATCCCAGAGGTGTGCAGTTCAAATCCACCACATGCTCTGCTGGAGAAGGAGGAGTAATCTCCTCCTGTACCAGTCAAATCTGATTTGATGGTACACACACACACACACACACACACAAATAAGAAAAATAAAAAAAAAAGAAAGACCTGTATTTAAGTCCTACCAGAGTCTGCCCCTAACCAACATTATGCGCCCAGCCTCATCTATAGCTTGATGATAATAACCTCAGAGGGTTGTTGTAAGGATTACGTGAGGTGATGTACATATGATGTCCAGCAGGGATTGACATATATCAGATATTTACCAGATGCTTATTATCCAACCTGCAGAGGATGATGTTTATGAAGAACTTCTGAGAGCTCTTTTGATGGAGAAATCTTGATCTTTTGGCAGGCTTGTTAAAAACCTCAAATTCTTGCCTAAACCAAAATCTTCCATATACCCTGAGTAATTTTATTTTAAGGTAAAATAAACACACAACATGTTAAATTGATGATGATGATATTTAATTTTAAAAAAGCTCATCTAAAATATTGTCTACAGCCGCATTTAATGCTACAGTGGTAGGCAGTGATCAGTAATAGCAGTCATTTTCAGGCTGATGATCCTGTGACCTTTGTAGCCCACTTCAGTTCCCTATTTACTGACACAGCAGAAGGGAAATTTTTACATTAATGACATTTTCTCCAAACTGTTCCAACCACTGAGTCAGACCCAACTTTTTCTCCTCTTAATTTAATAGGAGTTATGTAGGCATTTCACTCATTAGGCCTATTCCGTCTCTCCTATCCCAAGACTTTTGACTTTGCAATGTTTTAAACATTTTACAGTAGTTCCAGTAATTAAGAGTCTAGGAGTGCTGCCATTTCAAAGCCATCTGCAAAGTTAGCCCGGTATAGGAGCCAGGGAAGCAACTGTATTCAGGGAGTCTGGAGCGAGTGCCTTGTGATGAGTTAGCTCAGGCCTTTGCTAACTGAATTTTGTCCACCTTTCCCACTGCAAGTGTCTCTGACTGGTCATTGTGTTAACAGGTGAAAAACCCTTCAGCTGCCGGTGGCCCAGTTGTCAGAAAAAGTTTGCCCGATCAGATGAACTAGTCCGCCATCACAACATGCACCAGAGAAACATGACCAAACTGCAGCTGGCGCTTTAAGGGTCCAGCCTGAGGACAGCCATGTGGCCAGCAGAACACTGTGTGAACTGCTTCCAGATCAGACGTTACCATCTGCCTCTCTCACCTCACTAAGAAAGAATGGCTGTTGATCATCTTCATCCAACTTCCAAGGCAGGATCCCCGTGCTGTTGGAGCCCACCAGGTTTGCTCGAGGCAGTTGGTCTCTGCTTCGCTGACTCGTAATTGACTCACAATTGACTCATGAAAGTGGCTGATGATGCCCAGCTAGTGAAAAGCCCATCATCCTTAGTTAGGTCTGGATTTTCCACTGTAAGAAGAGCCACTGTTGATAATGTTCCCCTGCCCTCCCCTTCCCCTTAACATGCATTTTCACTAGGAATGGAGTCACTGTACCATTTTCCATCATGGAATATTTATAGGTCAGGGCATGTGGATGTGTCTGCTAATGTAAACTGTGTCATGGTTTCCATTTACTAACAGCAACAGCAAGGAATAAATCAGAGAGCGAGGCACTGGGGTTGAGTCTCGCCGACATTCCCGAGGTCAGACAGGCTGCTAACCTGGGGGCCAGGATGGAGTTCCACCAAGCAGCTTTTCAATCCCATGTGTTACAAGCAGCTGAAAGAAAAAAAGGAAGGCAAACTAACTACCAGCTCTTCTGGATAGAAATTGGAAAAAATCTTAACATTCAGTTAATTCCATTGTAACATTTGCATAATACTCTTAAGAAACTGTGTTGGAAGATCTGAGATTGTGGGTTTTGTGCTTTATATTTGTCCTTTTTTTTTTTTTTTTGAGGGGGTGGTTGTACTCTTTGGCATTTTCAGAGATGTATATATCCACATACAGGAAATGGAATTAATTTTCATCATTGGGGATATCCTGGCTTTGAGTTGTAAAATTTGATTTTAAAGAACATAGGGGCGGTCCAAGATTCCCATTAAATAACTTAAGTAACTTTGGGTCTTCAAGTCTATGTAAAAAAAAAAAATAACAGACTAGTGTGAAGAAATTCATTGTTTAAAGATGGTTGGGTGTATGTGTGTTTTTTGTTTTTTGTTTTATTTTAAGGACTTTGTTATTATTGCTGTTGCTTGAAATTATTATGTAAATACAGATATATCTAATGATGATTTGCTCTTTGACAACTAAAATTAGGAAATGTATAAAATACTAGCCATTTCACTGTTTGGGTGTTGATCTGCCAGCATATTGATGATAATACTAAACATGTAACCTGCGTTTTTCACTTGGCTTTCAATTAAAGTCCCTTCAAAAGGAAAGTGATGAGTTTCTGTGACCTCTATTATGTCATTTCAAGAGTTAAAGAGTTAGAATCACTGGACCAGTTGAGCTTTTTTGAAACAGTAAGATGCCATCCCGGATGAGCACTAGTAAACCAACCTATGTTCCAACCACAGCTGACTCTTCTGTCAGGTCTCCGCACCAGGGAGTGCTGCCTTCCCACTGTGTGATGAAGTGGTTGTCTCCTTGGCCGTGGCTGGGTGAGTTTATGTATGCCATGCTGGGAATTGTGTTTTATAGTTTTATATCCAATTACCATCACAAGATAGCAGTTCTTATTTTAAATCAGAAAAAAAGAATTGGGAGAGGTTAATAAGAATTGGTCTTTAGAAAAGTTCACAGCTACATTGCTGGGATCAGGAGGGCACATGCTGAATACCTAGTACAACTGAATTTACAACTGTGTTTGCCATAAATCAACTCAGCAGGTTGGAAACGGCTTGGCCCTTCCAGGGCAGCCAACTGTGACAGCAAAGGTCTCCATTATCTGTAAACTCTCTTTTTGTTTCTGGTGTATGGTTTTTCATCTGTAAATATGATTAATCTGGAAATGCCTCCTCTTAGCCCTGGTATTTTGGAGCTTGTGTACGTTATATGGTTCGATTCTTCATTTAAAATGTGTCTTCAGTGGAGGAATCTAAGCCATGGACTCTTTCTGGTGCTCACTGCAGTTTGAAATGGGGTCAGTAAGGAGCCTATGGTCCTGAGGCACCACTTATTTTGCATCTGGCTCTTGCATCACTGTTAATTATAGTGAGTCTGGTGACTCATTTATATCAGCCAATTTTATCTTTTCCTGCCAGAAGACAGCATTTCTCTGGAGAAGCTCACAGAGGACATGGCAAACGTCAGCGAGCCGGAGAGAGCCAGGCTTCACGACAGAAACATAACTGCGTGGTTGCAACCACATGTTGGAGATCAGAGATACTTAGAGGACCCAAGCAGTTTAACTGGCAGTTAATGGTCATGGGGTTTGGAGAGCTGGCTAACCTGGGTTCAAATCCTCAGCCTCCAGTATTCTCATGACAGGTTTCTAGTAAGAAGTAAGTGAAGAAAGTATGTAAGCAGGTTTTTCCCCCTCCAAGTTGCCAGTGAGTCGATTCTGATTCATGGAGACTCCAATTTGTGTCAGATCAAAACTGTGCTTTGCAGAGTTTTCAGTGGCTCATTGTTTTCAGAGTTAGACTACCAGACTTTTTTTTTTAAGATCCTCTTTAGAACCCTCTTTAGGGTTTGTTTTAAAGGGACTCAGGTGGAGTAGTCTATAGTGAGTTGTGCCACTAACCCAAAAGCTGAGTCTCCGTGGAAGTTCAAATCCACCCAGCAACTCCTCTGGAGGAAGTTGGGTGGTCTCCTATGTAATTTACCGCCTCAGAAACCCAATGGAGACTCAGCTCTGCGTTTCAACTTGATGGCAATGAGAGAGAAAGACAGGGTGGACTTGCCCCCTCCAACCTGTGGCTTAGCGGTTGGATGTGGAAACTATCTGTATCGCCTAGAAACATGAAAATATCTAGATTTAAAAAAAAAAAGAAAATATCTAGATTAAAAAAAAGAAAATATCTAGATTAGCAAATGCTTTATGAACTCTACCTGGACAATCCAGGAATTCAGCTGCCAGTTTCCTTTACTTGCCACACATTCCTCCCCCTCTCCTCATCCTCGAGTAGTTAATCTTTACAGATTAGCACCACAAAATGACAAATCTCTTCCCTTTTGTTCCCAACCAGAGTTTGGAAGAAATAAGGCTTCTTGCCAGTGTCTCTTAAGAGCCCACATCTACTTGTTTTTTATATTTTGCAAAACACCTAGTAAGAACTGAATGTATGTATGTATTTGAGATCCACGATTTTGACCAGTGATAGATTGTTATTGTTATGTGCTGTTGAGTCGACTACAACGCATAGCAACCCTAGCCCTGAACCTTGCCCTACCCTGAGCAAACCTTACCATCTCAGACACCCATTGCTACAGTCACTGTGTCAGTCTGTCAGCCAGGCTCTTATTTTCCTGTGTGACCCTCTACCATTCCAAGCATGATGTCTTTCTCCAATGACTAGCCCCTTCTAGCAACATGCCCAAAGTATGTAAGATGGATTTTCAAAATCCTTGCTTCCAAGGTTTCACCCTCTCTAGGACAGATCTGTCTGTTCTCTTGGCAGTGCATGGTATGTTCAGTACTCCTCTCCAGCACCACAAATAAAAGGTATCAATTCTTCTGTCACCCTTAGTCATTGTCCAGCTCTTAGATGCATGGCACAGATTGCCAAGAGTCAACTGGTGAAAAATGATCAGTAGTTAACTTTCTGTGATTCTGACTAGAGCCTGTGTTAGGTGCAGTTATCAGGTTACTTTTTTTTTTTGGAGCAAGGATGTCACTTTGAGGACTCAGATGCATCTGACTCAAGCCTTGATATTCTCAGCTGCCTCACATGAATGTGAAAGTTACACAGTGAATAGGAAGACTGAAGAATTAATGCCTTTTAATTGTGTTTTGGTGAAGAATATAGAGTATACCAAAGATCGCCAAAGAAACAAACCAATCTATCTTGGAAAAAGTGCATCCAGATGCACCTTAGAGCTTAGGATGGTGAGTTTTTCTCATGTATTTGGACTTTTTTTAGGTGAGGCTAGTCCTTGGAAGCAGGAGTGGCATCCACTTCCTCAACAACTTGCCTCCGGAAACTCTATGAACTTTGATAAATGTCAATAGTTGTAGAGGGGCTTCAGGCCTTTTGTTGATAGGGTCATTATGAGTCATGCTCAATTTGAAGGGAATCAACAACAACAGTCCTTGGAGAAAGATAGCATACTTGGTGGAGTGAAAAAGAAAACTCTCAATGAGATGAATTGACATAGTGTCTACAACAGTGGGTTTGAGCACTGTAGAGATTATGAAGATGGCATAGGATCAGTCAGTGGTCCATTCTATTATAGGTGGATTTGCTGATTCGGAACTGACTTGATAGCATGTAACAACAACAGCTCTGCTGTGTTATGTGGCCCAGTGTATTTGGATCTTTAAAGATCATTCCAGTTACCTGAGCTCACTTAACTTCTGAATTCCTTTGGCCCTCATTATAACCAGTCCAGCTGCTGCCAGTTCACTTCCAACTTGTGACCTTGTGTGTCAGAGTGTATGTCACAGGGATTTCAGTGGTTGACTTTTCAGAAGTAAATCACCAAGTTTCTCTGGGTTCCTCTGGGTAGACTTGAACCGCCAACTTTTTGGTTAACCAGCTGAATGCTATTTCTACTGCCCACCTCTTGACAAACTAACATTCAGCATAGTGCTAGCAATAAATGTATCAGTCAATAATACTTCATGGTGTAATGCTTCTCCATCTTTTTTTTTAGTCTGTTGTTGTTGTTGTTATGTGCCATCGAGTCGCTTGTGACTCGTAGTGACCCTATGTACAAAAGCTCTAAACGCCATTCTATCCTGTGCCACTAGCCATCTCAAACGCACTTATTCCCGCCACTCTAGTCACAGAATCAATCCATCTCATCAAAGGTCTTCCTCTCCTTCACCGCTCCTCCACTCTGCCAAACATGATGTCCCTCTCCAAGGACCAGTCCTTCCTTGCAACATGCCCAGAGTATGTCAGATGAAGCTTCAGAATCCTTGACTCCAAGGAGCATTCTGGTTTCACCCTCTCCAGGACAAACCTGTCTGTTCTCCTAGCAGTCCATGGTATATTCAACACTCTTCT